TCCCTACACTTCCCCAGGTGCCTGTCATGTGCTTCATGAAAGTATGCGGGGCTATTGTGAAAGCAGGACCAGTGACTGTGTGTAAAGTGCCATCAAGTTGCACAAGACTTAGGGTAATGTCGCAGGGTTTACAAGGCAAGTGATTAAGCAGAGGTGGTTTACCATTGCCTTTCTTTACAAAGTCTTCCATGGTGGTCTCCCATCAAAGTACCAACCTTGCTTAGCTTTGGAGATTGGGCTATACTATCTCATTCCATATCCCATGATGGACTTCCTTCTGCCTCTATAGAAATAAAGTGACTTTTTACCTTGGCAGCCTTTTATGTGGGTTTTTCTGTGTGTTTATATTCCATGTTCCCTCCCCCATCCTCTTGTGTATGTGTGGTTGGCTCCACCTCGTGTGGCAGCAATTTTGTAGTGGTGCCTGCCAACCCAACCTGAAAATTTGAAAAGCGCCTGCAGGCTCAAAAAGTCTGGGCACCCCTGCCCTAGTTTAGCCTATGTATAGGGTTGCCATGTCTCCCAGTATAACAGGAAGAGAAGAATATATTGGAGACTTCACTTGGAGTCTTAGAGTGGCTTACAGTCTCCCTTCCCCTCCCCACAACAGATACCCTGTGAGGTAGGTGGGAGTGAGAGAGCTCTTTTGAGGAATGCTCCTTGACAGATCAGCTCTGAGAGAACTTGTGACTGACCCAAGGTCACACCAGCAGCTGCATGTGGAGGAGTGGGGAAGACCCCCTCCCCACAACCATGCCTGGCAACCCGACCCCCACATTTTTCCTGTCTTCATTTCACAGCATGGGTATAAATCTATCTTTACCACTTAAATCAGCTAAGTATTTTTAAGGTGAGTTGTAGCTGCATTGTAGCCTATGGCTTGAATCCTAAAGTACTAGTCTGTTGGAATGGCTTTTCCATCTGCAAAGGAGGGAGGTTTCTGCTGATTCTCTTCTCTTGCAGTAGAGTCCCACTTTCTCACATTTCTAGGATCCACTGATTTGAAGAACAGAAGGCTAAAATGGGGGAGTGGAGAGTATGGAAGTTGTTTTCCTCTGGTGCAACTCCACTTGTATTGCTTAGGATCCACCCCATAGTTTTTTATTTGTGTCATGAAAAAAAAGTAAATAGCATGCATGATGAGTGGGGGTCCCAACACCCTTACAACTGCTTGATGATACCTTGTACTTGTGTTCCTTCAGCAAGAGTTTTGCCACTGGAAAGTGGGTGGATCTAAAAGGACTTGGTGATATGGTTTATATGTGTTCAGAATAAAAGCCTCAATTATTAGACATGCCAAAGGCTTTGTGTTGTGCTAGCTTTTTTGTCCCCTGGTCTATTTCACATGCTAGGAAACAGATGGGGGGAAGGTCCTTTTTATTTGTCTAATGAGACTGTTAAGGATTGCACTTGAATACTGCTTACTTCGTATGAGCAGAAATGTCCTTTCTGCACAGTCAGTCAGAAATGCTGAATGAGGAAGATGGACTTCGTTTTTTGTCAAAAAAATTCAACTTCCCCTTTGAAAGTGCAATTAGAGCCAGCACACAGGAAAAAGGTCTCTAAGTAACACCAACAGAAATAATTAGCGACTTTAGAAGCCTTGGAATTTGAAAATAAGTCTCTTGTAGTCTCCATCCAGTTTGCAGTTGCCAAGAAACATAGTTGGGAATAGGAAAGGAAAAAAACCAGACAAAATTAATACATATATAGGGACAATAATACATATATAGGGACAATAAAAAGAAGAAGAGATTGGATTTATACCCCGCCCTTCACTTGGAGTCTCAGAGCGGCTTACAAACTCCTTCCCCTTCCCCTCCCCACAACAGACACCCTGTGAGGTGGGTGGGGCTGAGAGAACTCTGACACAAACTGCTCTTTCAGGTACAGCTGTACCAGAGCTTGTGACTGACCCAAGGTCACAGCAGGTGCAAGTTGAGGAGTGGGGAATCAAACCCGGTTCTCCCAGATTAGAGTCCGCACACTTAATCACTACACCAAACTGGCTCGAACTAAGGCTGAAGAGCTAAGTGAAAAGGTTTGCAATTTTACTGTTAGAAGAGGAGCTTTTATGTGTTTGGGAAGAACTTTAATTATCATGGGAGTAAAAATGAAGCTGAGTGCATTATTGACAATTTAACAAATTATACTTAAAATGGAGACCTTTGAAAGACCTTTATTATTTACATTTAAGAAGTTTATAAATATGGAATAAAATGTATTTCAGAGCTGAAGTTGCTTTGCAACTTGCAGTTTCTGATTAAAGATGAAATTATTTGTGAGATTAAGGGCTAAAGATGCTATTTTATTAAATACTTAACCTTAGTGACATTCACTGTTTCTGCTGCCCTGTTGAACTGAAAAGTGTAGAGCATACACCCTACATGGAAGAAATGTAGTCAACAAAAATAGATTAACAGCGCTGAGCCACTGTATGCCTTTTTGTCTACAAATATGTCTGTATTAGGAGCTGCGGTGGCTCAAGTGGTTAAGACGCTGAACTGCAGTCTGTGGAAGGTCAGTAGTTCAGCAGTTTGAGACCAGGGTACTGCATGGACTGAGCTCCCATCTCTAGTTCCAGCTCCTGCCAACCTAGCAGTTCGAAAGCAAGAAATTGCAAGTAGATAAATAGGTACCACTTCGGTGAGAAGGTAACAGCGTTCCGTGCGCCTTGGTGTTTAGTCACGCCGGCCACATGACCACGGAAATGTCTTTGGACAGCGCTGGCTCTTTGGCTTTGAAACGGAGATGAGCACTGCAACCCTAGAGTCGGATTCGACTGGCTTTCGAGCAAGGGAACCTTTACCTTTATGTCTGTATTAAATGTAGAATAAAGCATGGTTTTACATACTATGTTGCATTTTTGAAAGATTTGTCATAATTGTAAAAAGTAACCAAAATGATGCAGGTAATATAAATGGAGTTGTGTACAGTTGATTGGAGACTGTATTTATGTGGTTTTTCTTGTCGAAGTCAAATTACTTTACAGGGAAGACAAAGAGCCTAGGCTTTCTGGTTCTTGGGCATCTTACAGAGCCCCTAGGCTAAGAGTCCCTATGCTAAGAGCCACAGGCTTGTGCCTCTGGCAAGGTGCTTTCTGAAATACTGAATTACAGTCAATCACAGTCAAACAATGCCCCTTCCTCTCCCTCTCTCAATCAGGCAGGACTCTGCAACAACTCTAAGCGCTTTCACACACTCCCAAACAGCAGCCAAAGTCTGCACACAAGGCAAGTGTCCACTGTGACTTGAAGGGCAGTTTGAGGTCCAGGCACTGCAGCCTAATGCTTTCCTCAACAACAGCTAAGTGGGGCCAGGCCCAACAGCTGGTATCCTGCTCATCACCCTTTGTCAGGCTGCCCATCTTCTACTGCACTCTGGGCAGGCATGGCAAGACAGCAGGGCCGCTCCACACGGGTCATCAGTAATACTTGACCCCCTGCTTGGGACCTCCAGCTCAGCCAACTTCTTGGACTAGTGCAACACAATCCCCACACGGTATCTGTTGAGCAGCATG